AGAGGGATGGGAGGAGATAGAGTCGACGTTAATGGAGATCGACAGGAAAATGAGAGATGCTGAAAATGAACCACACGAAGATAAGAGGAAAACTGAGCTCCTATGGCCAATACATAAACTCAATCATCAACGATCAAGGTAGATCGTTATGGTATTCTTCTGGGCATCATTTGAATCTTACCTCATGGAAGATACGTGTTTGATATGTATTATAAAAAGAAGGCCATCTCCAAGGAGTTGTTTAGATATTGTCTTGATGTGAGCCAACTGCTTCGCTCCGCCTTTTTTGTTTATTTTTCTTGTCTTTTCCCTTTAGGAAGGTTGGGCCGATAAACAGTTAGTGTATAAGTGGCGCAAGCCGGGGTATGATCAGCTTTGCTGTATGCTCTGTTGCCAAGCGACAAATCATAATCAGGTTAGTATCTTTTACGCACGCTGAAGATTTCTCATTGTTATATGTGCTTCCTTAGGGGACGACGTGCATTTGCAGGGTACCACGAAGTCAACTTGGTGAGGGTAAAGTTGTACAATGTGCCCATTGTGGATGCCGAGGATGCGCTTCTGGAGATCAATGATATCACTGTACCTTGATGACTATTAGTATCATACACAAGTTTGAGGATGAGGAGTTGACTTCATTTAGTTGTCAATTATATCACTAACATTTCGACGGTTCGTGAGGCTTTAGACAAGTCATAGAATTTCTGAAGTAGAAGAGTGATCCAGAACATCCCATGGTACTGAACGAAAGGCTTCCTATCATAATAATACCAAACACTTGCATGCGGGTTCCGTAAATAGTTGTACTCACGGGCCATCTCTACTTCCAGATTAGATGAATCCATTCAAACAGCTCATGTTAGAATGACGACATAATGAACTGGGCTCTTTGGTGATGAGCTATGCTCGTTAGTGCTTGGTATTGAGCTTGCTTGGCCTCTAACATCGATCTCCGAGGAGATGTTCGATGCCAAACGTGAAAATCATGCTTCTATCACATTGTCGAGTTTCTGACATATCCGAAGTTGAAAGAATACAATGGAGAAAGGGTCGTGATGTGGATCGTGAGCTCTGCCAATTGAGATTGACGACTCGACATATATCTAAGCAATCGTTGATAGATCTTACCCATAGTATAACCCGATGTATCCTACCCCTACCACTACTAGAACACAAAACAATTGCTTAAGAACCAACCTGCGGCGGGACTACACGTTGAAGACGTAAGAGAGGTGTCCTACGACCAACAAACCATACAACAGTTAAGAAGCTACGACACAACGATTCACATAACGACGCTTCGATTGGAAAAGGTGGGAGTCTCCAAAATTGGCACTTTGGCACTGAGAACCATACGTCCAATAGGAGACGGGTATTTCTACACTAACCCAAAATTAATACTTGCTTATCCCCAGGAGAAGCACTAATGCGAAACTAGGATGAGAAAGCATAGAATAAACAGAATAGACTCCCTCAACGTGTTAATAAACCGTTAGGGATGCTGGGCTCAGTCCGAGCCCGAACAATTTCAGAGTTTCGCTCCGCCGTGACAGGAACTAAACTCTCAAGTAGCAATTGGAGCCGACGAATGATTCAAACTCCGAATCAAAATAGAGACACTCAACAGAGTAGACTAATGGTAAGAGTGCATAGAGTGAAACCACTACTATCAACTCTTAACCCTACTCTGTCTCTTTATATTCACATATTCCACTAGGAGAGAGATAAGATCGGAAACAGAAAATGAAGTAGAGTAATATAGAACACTAGAAACCATCATAAGTCTCGACTTTAATAACCGCATTATCATTGACGAGTTGATCCGAACCAACGGACCTAGCCATCATAGCATCTGATGATTCTCTGAACACCACAAAGCCCGTCTTGGGAGGGACAGGACGACCACATTTAGAGGGACAACGTGACTTCAACGGGAGCATAAGAACATGTTCAACAGCATCCTGCTTGCCGAGGAGAGCGTCAAAATAAGTCTTGATCTTCATACTGCATTTGTTGCCGAGCCGATGACAACGCTTAACCATTAGCACGCGAGCGCAGCACTCAGCTTCAGTAGGTGGTAGCAGATCCTTCACATCATTCAGAGTAAGAACAGCACAAACACCAGTGGTACCCGCTGTAGTCGTATAGATGTCGTCAATTGATAGCAAATCGTTTATAGGAACCTCCGCCTCTTGTTGATAGTAGTACTGTGAGGCAGCTGGGAAAGAGATCTCCTGCTCGGTTAAATCACACGGCAAAACAGGAGAGTCGAAACTCGTGACTGTCACGAGAGGACCCAGGGTCCCCGGAGTACACACTTTCGC